TTTTATTAGTGTTCCCTTTATCTTTTAGCATTACTGATCATTAAACTCTACATTCCCCATCCCCCACCCCCAAGTGGCAGTTCAAATTCCTAGGGCAAAGTTAACATTTTGTGGACTAAGCAGATTCTATCATAAAAAGTAGCACTTTCTGGTTCTGTATCAGAATAGACATTATTGGGAAGAACATATAAAGAAACCTGCAAAATCTTTTTTAGAAAAAAAAAAGTAAACGAAGAGAACCTGTCAAAAGTTTCTTGGGGTCATGGACTTGGTCAGTTATTTTCAAATGTTGAAAGCCAGTGAAGAAATTTTTTTCTTTATTTTTAACTTTGAAAATAAAGTCTGTTATCCTAATTTTGAAAGCAATGTCGAAAAATTTTTCAGGGAAAACACTAACATTACATTCATTATTTCACCTTTAGGCCTTTTCGTTTTAGGTTTTTCCCTTCCTCCAATTTTGTTTTAGGTGTTTGTTAAAGAATATTCATCACAAATAAAATTTTCAGTTTATCCTAAAGTGCTAGTCTAGCTCACCCTTGTCTCAAACAATGAAGAATTTGGACAATCAATAAGAATTAAGTACCTAATGAGGCTATTTTGTTGTTGACTCTTAAAATGCAGCTTTTAACTATTCTCTATTCTCCTTTCTACTTCAGTGTCAGCAAGATCTTATTTTATTTAACTATGTCTAAAATATTATCATTTAAAACATTTTGTCATTACTAACAGTGATCAGCTATAACCCCATGACCTTGAGAATATCATCCAGTTAATATGTATTTTTATTTTTTCTGACTGATTTATAAACTGTATGGGTTTATCTGATAAGCTGTTTTAATCTGTTTGGGTACAAAGTTAAGTATAGGTAGAGTATGAATAAATTTAAAAACTTCGCTAAAGACAGTCACAAGGTAGGTTAAAAAAAATCAAAATTAAATGGGGTGGATATCATACTTTTACTCCTACCAGCTGCAGCCTTTATATTCTTATGGTATTTTCACATAAATCCTTTTTTAAGTTTGAAAAAATAAAAAAGATGCCAGGCATAATAACAATCAAGCACTATGTGACTAGGACTATGTAAAAAAAAAAAAAATCACAGAAGGACAACCTAATACACATAGTGCTTTACCCCAGTTCTTAGATATGTATTTATATCATGCAGATCTGACTTAAATAATGAAGCTCCGGTTGTAAAGCAAAACTGGCTTTTTAAAAATAGAGGTATCTATAACTCTTAAAAATATTTTAAATATTTTTAGTTTATATGTAGGCTGTATTTTTAGAATTCTGTAGAGAAAATACCTATCTATCTATATCTATAAACATATTTCAATTTATATGAACTCAATCTGAAAAACTTGTCTCTTACCTATAAATGGCTGACATGGAAACACCCTTTGTCATTGCTGCTAGACATTTTTCCTATCATTTCCTATTGGTAACTATTTCAGATATCAGCACTGCCTACAACATTGACCTTTATCTACTCTCACGTTACCTTTGCACAAATTGGCTAAGTGGTGACATAGGGCAGACAGTAAAATGGAGTGGGGTTTAGAAACAAAAGTTATAGAAGTAAAGAGTATATTAAACCTACCTGTTAGTTTTTACCATCCTATCTGCTACCCAATCCCTCTATCCCCATTCCAAATGTACTCATTAACAGAAAGTAAGCATCAGCTAAACAAATGGATGGGTGAAGGATGAAGAGAAATCTATCACAGTCAAAAAAAAATCCTATTTTCATTCTTATTTTTGCTTCATTTTCAATTTCACTACCAGGATAAAAGAAGGGAAAACCTTTAATACCTAGCCAAACACTCATTAGATAGTTCTTACTCCAATCTTTACCACTACATGACTGTTTTGCCTCCTCTTTCATTCTACTCATTTCCTTTCCTACAATCTCTTCCAAAACCCCCCACACCTCATATAGTTTCAATTCCTTTAATACCTATCCATAGATTATCACATTCCCATCAATTTACATCCTTTCACCTAATAAAATTCTAGGTGCTTCCCATTTCTCCTCTGATTCCATTTTGGGGTCATTATTGGACTTAAAAACTTATTCCCATAAAATATGTAGTTTTAACACGAACTATATATAACATCAAGCAAGTTATTTTAATAATATTGGGAATTTAGTGCACTGTGCAAAAGGCAGGCATAGGTTTAGAGCACAACTCCAAGAGCTAGCTGAGAAATTTCCAGGCCCCAATGATAGGTATTTTGAAACTGTACACCTGAAGTGGGATGCAGGAATTTTCTAAAAGTCATCCCTGTTTAGCCTAGTGATCATCCATGTTTGGGAATAACTTGATAAAGATGTTTGAGGTTCCTTCTAGTCTAACATTCCAAGAGTCTAAGCTGGAATTTTTACTGTATTTTCTGATGGGAAAATTATTATAACTATATATAGTTTCCATAGTTATTGGTTTACAGTTCAGGTCTGTTACTGATTAAATAGGCCTTTGCAGGCTGACCTAGCACCTAAGCACCGTTTATAATATTATTTTATGACCAGAGCAAACTTGCAAATAAACTTGTAAAATATGCTTGCAGACTGGGGGCCATTAGTTAGAACAATACTATGACCTCATAGGAAAATATTAAAAACTATTTCTTTGCAATTATTATGTATACAATCAGACTCTTTCACAGATTTTTAAAAACAGATTTTTATTAAGTCAAGATTTGATTCATAAGTCAGATTAAAGATAGAAAAGACTTATCCATTAGATTATTTTTAGTTTATCACTAGGACTTTGCATGTCACTGGAATATAGCTAGAGAAGGAACCAGACATTAAGATGTCTAAAGAATTGTCTCATTTAAACATGTACAGTTAGAGTTTGGGGGCCTCCTTGGTAGTGCAAGGGCTTAAGTCTCAGCACCATGAAGCTACCAGCTGCCATTGCAGCACAAGTTTGATCCCCCGCCAGGGAGCTATCCAAGTGGCACAGTGGCAGACCTCTCCTGTCTCAATGCTCCACCACACTGCTCCTTTCAGTGTATTTCAGTCAATCTGCCTGTTCTGCTCCCTACTTTGTCTTTAGTGAATCCCCACACACCCCGCTCCTGCACCTCTTGACTACCCAGCTCTTGTATGCTTAAGTAAATATAATATATATGTTATACACACACACACACACACACACACAATTTGCAAGGATGTTACTTGCCCAGAAGCACACTAGATTTTTTATTTAGGAACTAGAAGTATCTAAGTATCTATTCTAGCTCTGGTAACTTCCAACTACCAATTCCTATTATAAACAAGTGTCCCCTGGTTAATATTTAGGCTTAATAAGCATGTTTCAACATATGAGAACTAAACAAGAATAAACAACACTCCACGGCAAGATGCCATATTAGTAGAGTGTTAAATAGAATCTATTTAAACAATAAATAAGCCAATCTTATTTCTTTAAATTGCATATATTTGTACAAATTAGCATGATAAACTTATTTCCTCATTTGTCCAAACAACATAGAAATTTACAGTGACTACCATTATGTAAGTGTGTTCTCTGAATATCAGGAATGATGCAATGGTTGCTATGGTAACTACTCATTTTATTGAATAAATTGGGTTGAGGTTTACAGCATTCTTAAAAATAAAAATTTCAACACTTTACCTATACCTGACAATTCTCTATCTATTGCTATTTATTAAACAATAACTGTAAGTCACCTTTGAGGATGATTATTCAGGCAGTTATTTTAGAAGTTAGGCTACAGTTGCCAATGAAAGAAGACTTTGAACTTAAAAGTTTGGGAAATGAAACACATCAACTACATTTAAAGGAATAAGAGATACTTAAGTTTTAATCTTCTAGAGTAACTGAGTGTGTATAAATAAAAAGTAACATGATGCTACATGTCTGTTCCTCCACTGTCACAATTTTGCTTCTAAATTACTAAGTATAAGACTAACAATAAAAAACTGCTGACTTTTTCGTTTGTAGTTAAGTTAAAGCAAGAGCAAGTAGAAAGTTATCCTTTGTTTTGATACTAACACAAAATTTATCAGGGGCATATCAAATAGCTGGAAATTTTCACTGTTAAAATCTTACAAAACACCTTTGTTAGAAAAAAAAATCCTACATTTTAGAACACCAAAGATAACTCTAGGCCCCAATTAGAAACACGCCTCAGGCACAAGCAAAAGCTATGAAGACGTTCTCCTTTGCTTAACATCTTCAATAGGAGGGGTGCCCAGCACTGACCAGCTTTACCCGCATCTATGCCCTAAAGAGGCTTGCTAGTTGCACACACTATTCACATCTAAGCAGTATTTTAAGAAGCTGCCCAAGAACTCTTCCTCTCTTGCCTACAGAATGACTTAAAATCAAGCATTTTAAGAATGGGAGGTGGCGGACATGAATGAAACCCTTTTTCTATTTAACAAGGTGAAGTCTAGTCAGCTAAAGGCCTGCTGACTTCGCAGCCCTGGAAACCAATGCGAGGAAGCTGGGGCACCGACTGGGTAAACCCGTAGGAATGAGGTTCTAGGAAGGGGGTCTAACCCCGAAGCAAACCAAACAGGCTGGTTAATCGCGAGAAAACGAGGGGCAAGTCAGGTTTCTTTCAGTCTTTCACAAATGGATTTTACCTGCCTTCGTGTTTTATGTTCACCCCTCGCACAGAGCGACCTCCCCCTCCTCCGGAGGGTGTACGTATCTGTGTGTGGTGACAACAATCTCAGCACCCCGGATGGGAACGCGGTAATTGGAGGGGTTGAGGACTCAGTTCCTCCATAGGCCTGGAACTCTCACGAAGGGCCCTCGAAGAAAAGGGGGCGGGAGGAGCGAGCCTGACGCCGAAGAGGACTAGACCGAGAAGGGGGCGGACGGGCCTGGGAGAAAGGCACTGGCAGGGGCTGACGTGCAGCTCCTTCAGGTTGTAATGGTGGCCCCTGGGGGGAGGGGAGAGGTGACAGGGATTGGGGTGATGAGGCTTCCCCTCCCCCCCTCGCTCAGTTCGCTGTTTACCTTCACGGTACTTCTTGCGGAGCCGCCGGTGAACGCTCTTCACTACGCCGGAGAGCTTCTCCTGTTCCAGCTTCCGCTCCTGCTCGCGGGGCGGCGGAGTGCTCGGGGGTCCGGCCCCTTGCCCGCGAGCAGCGCTTCGGTCGCCGGCCCCCAGCTCCATATCGCTGCTGCCGCTGCCGCCGCCGCCGCCGCCGCCCCTCGGGTCCCCGCAGACGCCCGCCTGACGGAGGAGGTGGGGAAGGAGGAGGCAGCAGCGGAGGCAGCAGCAGGAGGAGGCGGAGGACCCACGGCGACGGGCTCGGGGGCAGGCCCGTACCCAAATGTGCAAACTGATTGGTGGGCTGTGGAGGGCTGGGCGGAAACGGAAAGGGCCAGGGGCCAATGGAAGGAGAGCACCGGCAGCTCACCCTGTGTTTGGGAAGGCGGGGCTTGCAGACCTGGGGGAGCTGAAGCGGTGGGAGCGCAGGACCCAAAAGCCTCTCTTCTCTCCCCGCCGCCCCCAGCCCCCGGGTTTCAGTGCGCAGGCGCTTTGATGCGAGCCCGAGAGACGCGCTGCTAGCCCGGCGCTTGCGCGTCTGAGTTTACTGAGTTTGGGCATCATTTTGCAGCCCAGCTTCACTCTGGCTTTTCAGGCGCTCCGGCGTCTACGATGCGTCGTGTGCTGTGATGGGACCAGGGACACTACCTGAACCCCGACTGCGTCTTGTCATTTGTAGGATCCCTTTAGCTGCATATGAGAAGCGTTTTTGGGGATGACTTGGCAGCACAGACATTTTACACTTCGAGGGACCAAAAATGTTTTCATTGACGCTAGGAGAGGTATGGCAACCAGGGGCTAACTTGACCCACAGGCCAGCAGTTGTTAATGCCTCTAGTGCCAGTGCTGGGCAAAAGTCACAGAAACGGGAAAGTAGTGGCCAAGAAAAGCAATAGTAGAGGAGGGAAAAGCGGGAAGGAGAAACAAAATCTACCACAGATGCACTAAGGAACTTCTGTGGTGACCCGGGGGTCACCTTTCTGGAATACTGCTTTCCATAGACGCAAATTGTCGTTAGTTCCTGGAGTGGTACCGTGGTTCCTGGAGTGTCAGTGATTGAACAGGATGAGAATTGTGTATTAAGTTGTCGTTATTGCACCTCACCTCCTAGCCCCTGTCCTTGGTAAGGCAGTTGTTGGTTATCTGACATGGTTTGAAAATTATTCGAGTGAGAACTTTTTAGTGAATGAATTCATACAAATTTTAAAAGCTTGTACTGTGTAACTTTATTTGCCATCTTCTGAATAATGAAGACCCTGAAGAGCAAAGCAGTTCACTTTCCAGGAACTGGAGGGGGGAAGTAAGGGAGAAGATTGATGGAATTTAAAGTTGGAGGATGTGTCCCTGTTGGCACTGTAAAGAAGCAGATCAAACACACATAAACTTACTAAATACAACAATTTCTAAAGTCATTAATTTAAAGGTCTCTATTTTTAGGAAACATGGAGATTTCTGCTGTTTCTTAACCGACTTAATTCTGGCTGGCATAATATTTACTATTACATATCAATATAATAGCAAGTAAAAGGAATTTATTCAGGACTATCTAGATGTAATTTCTTCTAATGAATTAAAGCACTCCATAATTTACATTTGTGTTTCATTTCATACTTTCTTAACAAGTATTTCAAGATACAGAAATTGAACAGTTGGTTTTTATTCTAAATTTGCGTGAATTCAAATAGGGCAAAGGTCAAAATGTTCTGAGAAAGCCGGATACTTAGTTTGCTTAAGAGGACTATTGCCCCTGGCTATAGACCGTAATATAAAGGAAGTTTATAACATTTCTCCACTGTGATTAGTTATGGGGAAAAAACTTTCTGGTAAGGTAGTGGAAGAATGGTAATGGGATTTTCCATTTAAGAAAAATAACTATTCTAATTGCTGGTAAGAGGGATTCACTGGAGGAAGTGGGTTTAGTCCTGTACTCAAATAATATAGTCTATGCCTAGGAAAATATCAGAACTTTTATCCTATGTGATAACATGTGTAAACATGTGTGTAAACATGACTTTTATAATCCTCTACTTTTTTCACTGACTGTTGAAAAAAGGGACATTGAAATAAAACTATTCACTGATTTCATTGAATTGAATTGAGCAGAGCAATCTGGGAGGAAGGGGCATTTCTAATGACTGCTCTAAACCCCATAACTTACTTATCCTCATTCTTTGCTGTTCCTAGCCAACTTTTGGACATCTCCCCAAGCACATTTGGTATGTCAATAGTAAAAACAAGCAAACAAAAATAAACATTCAACATAGGAAAAATGCCTTGGGTAAGAAAAAAAGTCCTTGTCTTCTTTGTTTTCAGTTATAGTGCTTACAAACATGAGCAAATACAGTGCATTCTATATTCAGAGTTCCAGAAATATTAATTGTTTGTAAAAAGTAAGCTCTTAAAATCATATCAAACTGATTTGTACAAGTGAATTAGGGAATAGAAAATATCTGGATATACTTCATCATTACCTTTATTTAGCATTTTTGTAGTGTTACAGGGCACCCCAAATCTGTTATAGGACAGCAAATTTGTTACAGGACAGGGAGAGAGGGGCACTCCTGAAGCCCCAAACCTGCCTGCTCTAAGTGGGTTCTGCCATCCACCGCAACAAGACAAAACATATAAAACTTTAATGAAAAGGGACTTTAATATAGTAAATATACAATACAGAACACAAAGAATATAACTTAAAAATCAAACACCTGAAGTTACCCATCCCCTCGTGGGCAAAAGTCAACCCAAAAGGGGTTGGCCCAAAGCAAGGCCTGAAAGCCTGCCATTAGACTAAAGCACCTTCTGGCCGGGACCCATGGAAAAGGGTCAGAAATGACCAGACAAATCTGGGAGGAAAAGAGCAAAATCAGAATCAATATAAACACTGCCATAGTCACCTCCCTACAGGTCTCTCACCCACATGTGCCTTAACCAGTCCAGGGTCAGGAAACAAGCTCGGTTTCTTCATCACATGCTTGCTGCTCCATGTGGCTTCCTTAGGTCTTCTCCTTGTTCTCCATCCAGCTTCATTCCCTTCTTCTTATCTTCTCCTTCTCTTCTTCTCTGCTCAGCTCCACCCTCCTGGATGGGGCAGGAAACCTGGAACTTCCCCTTTTCCTAGGGACCACCCTGTTACAGTAGGAGAAAGAAGCTATGAGCTCTCTGAATTAACTAAAGCATTAATTATTTTTCATTGAAATTTGGTATTATCTGTTCCTTTTATAAAGGAAATATTAATATTAAATTTATGTTTATAAAAACATAATGTTGTACATTAATAGTGCAGAAATATTGAATGAACCTCTTTATTGAAAGTAGAGATATATTCAAACAGGCCAAAACTTTGGCTCAAGGCTATTTAGAAATAGAATTTTAAGAAATTCTATTAAAAATGAGGTCTTGAAAAGTAAAATTTATATTATTTTGAAAATATTTATAGATCATTAGTATATTCCTACCCATGAATATAACATATACATACAGTTGAAGTACTGTTTTAGAACTCAACATTTTTTTTTTTAAAGATTTATTTATTTGTGCATACAGAACTGGAGTACAGGCCAGAGGCTCAGGGGCGGTGAGAGGCTTCACCAGAGAGAGAGTGGGGAACAGAACAGGCAGATCGAGGAAGTACACTGCTGAGGGGAGCAGTGGGCGGGTCAGGAAAGGTCTGCCTGGCCATGTGGATCTCCTCTGGGGTGGGCAGGTGGGGATCGAACTCATGAGGAAGCGGCTTTAGATTCTCAGTGCTGTACTTTAACCTGCTGCACCACCAGGGAGGGCCAGAACTCAACATTTTTTAATGTGGTTGTATCATTTATTGGATACACTACAGAAAAACTATTCAAAAATTTTTCTTTTGCATATTTTATCTCAAATCATAGCAACTATCTTTGGGATATATATTCAGTATTTTGATATCAACATCATAGAGAACTATCAAGAAAGGTAATATCTTTGGTGATATGTTTTCATTCAGTATGGCAGATTTCAACTTTAAATTTCTATATTGAAAATAGAATTATTTAAAAAAATTTGTTTTTATAGCTACTGTTTCAGTGTCTTCCCTGCAATTCTTAGATCTCTCAATATAAAAATCTTTAAAATAATAAAGATTAGCTACCTTTCCAGAATGAATCTATAGTATGGTATTAAGACTTGTAGTAGGTACAGCAATTGGCCATCTTTTATTACTGCCTAACTCCAAATGCAACTATAAAATTTACAAAAAATATTTTTGTATTATACTAGTTAACGAAATACATTTATTTGTCAAACAGGGCTTATGTAGGAAGATTTCTACATTGAAAATACTAAGTATCCTTTCAGGTATTAGAACAAAAGCTTGAAACATTGTCTATATCCTGATTCCAACTTTACATTAACCACCAGAGCAAGGTACTTGATTTTTTTGAGCCTATTTTTTTTTTCTCCTTCAGATGTAAAATAAAGAGGTTAAATCTGATTAATGTTTGTTCCATTGTTTTCAACTATGATTCATGGCAAAACTACATGTTTTACTTTAAGGGTTATAACACATGTGTTTATAAGTATAGACACACATATAATTAAGACAAAAGTTTCATAGAACAATACTTACTTTCACTAAATGAAATGCATGGCAATGTTTTCAATTCTATTTTATCTTTTAAAACTGTGGTGCACGCTACATTGATTTTATGGCTCTCTAATGAGTCATGGCCTAAAATTTAGAAAGCATTGGCAACTTAAAAGACCTCTTTCAGTCTTCAAAACATTGTAATTCTGTGACACACACTGATTTTGAGAATACCTTACGAGATGTACCTGGCCATGGTGAGGTAACTCAGTGCTTTGAAAATCGTTTTTATCTTTAGGAGGTTCCCCCATTATGAATGCAGGCTCAAGTAACTGACCTAGACTGCTAGTCATATTTTGAAAAGAACAAAACAGTGAAACAGAAGCTACAGAGAATCTTTTGGTCTGTTGTGAATACTGTTAGAGTTGTGGGTCTTTTACCTCACAATGACAGAGGTTCTCTCTTCCACTCTCTAACATTTAATCTAAAAGACAAACAGTGGGGACTGATTTAAGTATTATGTGGGCTAGCTAATCTCAAAAACTGGAGTTTGGGACCACCTAACATCCTTTAGTGAATGTCTTTATTGTGTGAATAGTAAAAAAAAAAAAAGCCAAATCAAAACTTTTTTTTCCCATTTTGTGCACTAGTTAAGAAACATCCCAGAAGAGAATGGAATAAGTTTTCACTAGCTCC